TTTAAACTTGCTTTCATCTTTGACTTAATGAGGCATCTAGTGAGTAGGGAAAAGACTTGCACCCACAAGATAGTAATCGCTAATTCAAAATGTTCCATATGCCTTGCTGGCAAGGATTTTTGTTTCCATTGTCCTTTGTTCCTTTAGCTCTCTCGCCTACCCTTCACCCATTATCTGGAACAGCAGTCACCGATCGAGATTAAAAACGCCCTACTCCGTTGGTGCCAATTAAAGACGGCCCTTTATCCCCAGGTTCGGAAATCATTTAATAAACGAAATTCTGCCAAATTATTAACATTTAAAACGGATAAAAGTGTTTTCTTGTGGGTAAAATTCGCCAAGAATCAGGATGTGAATTGCAGTGAGATGAGTGCGTCGGAACGTTGTTTCTTCCTCAGATAAATTTTGAATGACAGTTTGTGCGGATACAACAAAAGTGACGCTTTTTTAATCTCGCCGTTATAGGAGTAATTTTATCGATTCTGACATCAAAAAGGAATTTTACGCTCCATCCTGTTGGAAAATTGGCTAAGGTTCACACTTATTCTTTTGCAGACTCAAGGTACTGGTGAATAGCTGGCTTTGTCGAGTTGAGCGGGAACCTAAACGACTCAAACTAGATAGGACAGAGCCTTAAGCAAATATTTATGACTATTAAAGAAAGCGATCCCTTTATCTTGGAGCTTCATTGAATCCACAATTACATATTTGCAAACAGGACTTGGAGGAGGGCAAGAAACCCTGCATCGTTTGTGCTTTGCATGTTGATGAATTTTAGAACAGTCCTAATAGCCAGTAAAATATGTGCAGAAATTACACTTTTTCGTAGAAATCAGGTACGCTTTGCATCCTGTACCAATTTCTTTCTTGCACTCTTTCTCACCTACCCAATTGTATGAGGAAAATATGTAAGTCCTAGGTAATCCGTATCTTTTGGTACCTAAAATGCTCTACAACAAAGTAGCGAAACCCTTCCCTTTTGCGTTATTTGGTCTCCTTCAACGCAGCCTTCTCCTTACAGTTAAGTCGCATGTTGTGTCATGCTGTTATATTTTTCCATCTTTTTCCTCAAAATCAGCTTATGTGCTCTAAAGAAAATTTGTACATGAATCCATTAGTACTAAGTAGCGGTTATGGGTAGAATAGTGTCGGAGAAAAATGCCTCCTAATCTGGAGATAATTGCATGTCTCGAAACATTATTTTCTGTTTGTGCTTATTGGACATTAGGTGATCATCTCGATATGCTTACCTCTCTTAAAACATTCTACACCAATTCAGATGATAACGTTTTTTTGAGGGAATGGCAAAGCCATAAAGTTCCCTCATCAAGTTCATTTATTAGCATAATTTATTCCCAAAATTCGGCTTGGAGGAAAAGGATTGCCAAAGGGAAATGAATGTCAAAACTGATCTTTGACAATTGGGTGGTGTTTAGATCAACATTGCCAATTTCACCTCCAGTTGGAGAGATGGTCTGGCGATGTGCGCCCTTCTGCATCATCACCGACCCTACCTCATTGATTTTGCTGCTCTCGCATCAGCGACCACATCGCCAATAAGTCGTCTTTCGGAGGCTTTCGCTTTGGCAAAAAAGGCCTTCCAAATACCCATAATCGTCAATCCAGCTGACTTTATTGCTTGGAGTAATAATGAGCGTTGTGTGGTGGCTGTAGTAGCTACTTGGTATTATCAGTTGAACAAGGACCATGAATTTAAAAAGTCTGCTTCGCGTTTGGCTGTAGTGCTTGACAGGGTGGTCACATCGGAACGGAGGATGCTAATGTATGTGAAAGAGGTCTATATCCTTCGAAAGTGGATGAAAACAAGCATGAGGTATCTTGAGGAACTAAGCAAATTTAGCGATGCAAAACTCATTTCCAGCAAGCTTGCCCATTGGCAAGAAATCGAGAAGAAAAGGAAAGTGGAGGAACTTGGACAGATCGAGGTAAGGCCTCCCTTATGAACCTTGCATGAGAATCGTTTGGGATTGTCTTTATGAAAGCCGGTTAGGACATTATTGCGCTCTTGACAGCTTAAAGACTTACAAAAGGAATGGAAAGTATGTGAGGTATTAGTAAAAGAAGACATTTATGCGTTAGATTATAAAATCCTCTTTACAGTCTTTGGGGTAAAGTAGCCTTTGCAGAGAACAGATGAAACCAACTGATTAACTAAAAGTTATTACAAATATCGAATAATTAGTCTCAAACTAACTGGAAGATCTTTCGAAGAATATGTGCACCCTACAACGAAGGTCTAATAAGCAGAGGTTTCGAATTTTACTGTTATTCCATGCCTCTGAAAGCTGATTTATAAATCTGTACAAAATCAGGTAAAAAAGCTGGAACGGGTCCAAGGAAATGCTGTAAATTTTAGGCGGCCTGGTTACAATTAAAAATGCAGAATCTTGCCTGGGGATACGTTTCGCCCTCTCCACCAGCAGGATTTGACTACCCAACAATTTATAGGACCTGGGAGCAATTTGGTGAAGTTGAAGCCGCATGCATGAAACAGATTTGGCAAGGTCAAAAAATACAGGTTAGACAGTTTTCACCCTTACATTTCCGCCTCCTGTCAATCATAACTTCATGACAGTGATGTTATTTTTAAGTGGAGAACTGCCAATTATATATAAACTAGTTGTGGAATTATTCAAAATTTCTTCCTTATACACTTATCCGTGATTGTCCATGGAACATCGACTAAATTCAAACAGTCAGAAGCAGATGAGTAAAGGCACAAAAATTTTTACAAATTTTGAGTATTAGCATGTCATTCTTAATTTTTAGTCTCTAAAAAAACAGGAGCTGGATAAATTTTGCAAAAAAGCTGAAGTGCATAAGCTCTGGCTTCTTGAATGCGATCGCCTATTCAACTTAACTATCCAAACCGATTTTCAAGGAGTTCATACCAGCCTTCAAAAATGGTATAGCAAGTCTCAGATTTCCACAGACTTGCTCAAACATCAAAGAGCTCTTGTTCAGAGGGGACTTCAGAAGAACACAGCGCTGGTTGCAGATGCGGAGGCGCATCACAACCAAAAAATGAAAATCTTATTTAACTCAAGACCTTATGATGGTATTTTCTACCAAATCCGCAGATATTGGAAAGTTTTAACCGACAAATTTCATAGACGAGACGAATTTTTGCGAAAACGACTCGCCTGTCTGGACAAACTCCTCAAAATCGTTGGCTTAACAGAGGAGCTGGAAATAATTAGGTCCCAAGTATTAAATCAAAATCCCACTGAAGATGATCTTAATATTTGGGAGAGTAAGTACAATGCTGCAGCTGAAAAGGTATCAAGCATGACTTTCGATTGGAATTTTATTGCTCAAATAAAGTGGGAACGCATTGTTGGATGCTGCTATGCCCAATTTTGGGGTGTCAATTGGGCCATTGGGTGTATTCTGCTTTGCTACAAGAACTTTTATTTGGAAACCGCCAAATGTGCTGAGCTGTATTGCAACATATGCAAAAGTTTGACTACCACTGAGGTGAGAATTGCCCTCTTCATTAACAATCCAATTGGACACAATAAACAAATAAACCCAAATCCCTTTTAAAAAAATAAAAGGATATGCATTTCTTTTATAGGACCGGATCGAACATACGCGTGTCTTATTTGAGTTAATAGGACAAACACCAATTAGTGTGTTTAGCATCAGATCTATCGATCCCTTTGCTCCCATTCTAAGTAAAGCGAGACTTCTCATCCACGAAGCTGACGAGGAGAGCGTTGGATATAGTGTCCTTACTGACGACACTACTGATATGAAGTCAAGGAAATTCTGTGCAAAGACCAAGTCTTCACAATCAGCAACAAATTTGTCAAATTCAATGTTACTCAGACGATCTAGAAGCCTGGAGATCATTCCAGAAGGCCAGATTGGTTACGAATCATCAAGAAAGCAACGCAACGCTGTTGCTGTTAGAATCCACAAAGAATTTAAGCCATGGCATTTAACGGGTTTAGATGCTATACGGCGGTTGAAGGCAAGCTTTCAACAGAAGTTGGTCCTAAAGAGAAAAGAAACAGAGGAGAAAAGAGCAATGCTCTACGCAAAGACGGAGAGACTGCATGGAGAACTATCTACTCTGCAAATAGTAGTTGATCTTCTTACTTCCATACCAGAAATTCAGACGGAGACAAATGAGATAAGGGAATGGATTCGTCATGAAATTGCCTATTTTATGGAATCTCCCATTCCAGACATATTGGCAGAGTTGTTGAACTATCTTGACGTATCAGCCGAATGCTGGTGGGAGGGTCTCCCTGGATTAGGCGCAGTATTCTTAAGAAACATGCACATTCAGTCAAGAATCAGGCAAAAGTGTATGGTATGTTGCCGTCTCTGCTCTTCAGTCCATTTTGGCTGTACCTACTCGATAGGTGCTGAACAAATAAAGCCGAATTTTGGTAAAGCTTTGGCCTTTAAAGTTACCCTTCAATAATTCCGTCAGCTTGAATCTTTTAGAATGAAAGACGCGCAACCGCCGAATAAAAAATGCTAACAAATGAATTCTAAAACTCGATTTTCTTGCATTATTCTTGTTGCCACCATAAAATTGCCCCTTCTTCTCCCTCAATAGCGAAAGTGTCTTACAACTTTGGAATGTCTTTAAAAAACTATTGTACCCAAAAATAATTAAAGTGGATTATGAAGGTCGACTCTTAAACTGATAAAACGTTTCCTTATTATAGCAGTTATTATCTGTAAGAAAAGAGAATGCTTTCCTATACAAAGTAAAATTTGCATTAAGATACTTCACAAGGGCATAATTTTACTCTCCTTTATTTATGTCTTTCAAAAATACGTCCAAAATAATGAAGTTACGCGAGTTTTGACCCCGACATTTTAACCCATAAATGAGTTGGAACATGCACTTATTTTTTACAGATCCTGGAGAAGATAATTGACCTACGAAAAGTTTTGAACAGAATTGAATATCGCTTCCTACAAAACAATGGTGTCAATCCTGAAGACCAACCACAAAATGATGATTCAAGCAGTTTCCGACGCATAGCAGTTCAAACACAAGCAGCCATCCTTTCGGAGCTGACTAAAATGCATCAAAGCTTGAACGAAGTTAATCAAGAAGCTACAAAACGGCATGAGCAGCTTTTAGTTGAGCAGGCTAAAATGCATGCCATTCAAAGGTGCTGTGAATTGCTGCAATGGATCCGCCAAAGGTGAGGAAATGTATACAATATCTTCTTCTACCTTTAGAATGTTTTCTAATGAGTAAGAAGAGAGGTAAAGGTGAATAAGCGGGGCTGAGGCAATGCACCTAGACCAAAAACATTAATGAATGAGTATGGAGTAATTGTGACCACAACAACTCTGAGGAGCTTTACTAATGATCTCTAAAGAAATAAAGTTTCCATTTTCATTGCCTCTTCTTAGATACCCAAACTAGCAAGGGATCGCAGGTTTATAAAATGTTGTAGACATTTTGACACTTGGTAAAATTAATTAATCTTGGGGACAACTTAAATAAGGCGACACTTAGATTTAGGTAGCAAGAGAGGAATGACTCAAATGTGACATCATGACACTTTGTATAAAGCATTTTAGTGTAATTGGAGAGAGTTGAATTTCCGTTGCATTTGCAGCAAGGGAGTGGTTTATCGCTTAATGAAACAAAGCTAGCCTTCCAATTCCCTTCGTTTCATTCCAAACATGCGGGCTCTGCATTCTTGCTTCTTCCGATTATTGACAATGTGGAGAATAATCAAGGGAAGGAATTTTTAAGGCTCTCACCATTAAGCACAGCATGCGATCCTTATTCGCATAAAGGCAGTTGAAAGCCGATTGTGACATCACTTGAATCAAGAACAGTAAAGAGTTCTTTTTGGAATTGACGCGTCTTCATGAGAGTTACCTTTTTACTTCTATATTTCCCCTAATCTCATTGTGTTGCAACTTAGAATTCACGCAGATCAGCCAAATCAATGCAACTAGCTTTATTAAAATTACTAGGCAGACAAACTGGATTGGAAAGTAGAGGGCCAGACGACCATCGGCGACTGAATAAGCGGGCTCTATATCATTTATGGAGGGTAGGACGCAGGCGCAAGAGGAACTACCGCACCGACAGAACATTGTATTTTTAGTATTGATGCTTCATGCCTATTACGGGTTTTGTCGGCAAGTTCCGCTGCGGTTTGTTTCAAATCACTCCCATTTATTCGGGATTCGTGGAAAATTTGTCCTCGTTAAAAAGCGCTCCATTTTACTTCCATGGAAATAAAAATGGTATTTATTTAAAGGTAACTGCACAGAAATCTGACATCGCAGTTAAAAAATATTTTTTGGTTAATCAGCACATCACTGTCATTTTTTTCCTTTTTTCATCTTCTATTCTCACCAAACCTAAGCAGAAAGTAATGGATAAACATGTAAATTGATCCTATTATAATTTGCTGTAAACCCTCTAGCCAATGTTCATATGTGCTTTGTGGTGTCATTTTTTGTCACTTTTTAGTCAAAAGTGCCTCTCAAAAATCGAGTTTCCTTTCCTCCATATATCAACGAAAGACTTCACTGAGTTCAGTACCCTTATGATGAATGAGCCGTTCCTTGTGGCACTGGAAAGGGAGATTACTTTTCACACTAAGGCATCTCTTCCGGTCCTCCATGAATTTCAAGATCGCATTCCCAGTGATTCCTTGTGGAGCTATTTTCTTGAACACATTTACGATGCTTGGAATGACCTCATTCACTTCGCTAGGATGAACCGTCTTTCTGTGGATACTGCAAAACGTCTCCAGCACCTTAACGGGCAGTTACTTAGCACCATATGCTGGATAAAACATAAGAAGGAGTTACTTATCACAACAGGTGAGACAAAGAACACTATGAGAGAGATGATTCGTATGGAATGTCGGATGGCTGGATGGGAGACTGACCTGAATGCTCTCAAAGAACAAGTGAGACAGGTGTTTGGAGAGGTAGACGCGTTGAACGTTGCATTAGAGGAACTTCAGTCGCCTTTGAGTGGGGAGTCAGAGAATAGAGTGGCTATACGAGCTGCAAAGCTAACCCTAAAGGAACTTAACTCGAAATTATACCGAGACTGGGAGGAATTTAAAAGTCTCCTTGATGAATACCAAAAACGACTAGAGGCTTCGCTAGCCTTTCAGAACATGCTACAGGTAAAGCCAAAAACGAGGAATATTAGAGCTTTCTGCTATTTTTACAAAGGAATCATGTTTATTTAATTGGTGGACTCCAGAGTTGTGTAACAAACACATTTACTTCCCTCCTACCATAAGTTATTGAAAATATTCATATTTAAGTGATGATCTCATCAGCCGTAATGGGGCCGAATGCCACGTCACACTGTTGACATGGCACAAAAACACTTTATAAATTCGGTTTTATTCTAATGCTTTTAAAATGCTCAAACAGGTTTTTTGCACCAAAAACAGCTTCTGTCTATTTTTTTTAATTTTCCGAACTTTACGCCTACTAAACAAAGTGTGTGAGAAAATATTTCCTCAGTTTCAATTTGGGCTTTAAGTGTTCAATTCATCCTAGGAAGGGTATCCACATTCAGAATTTAGGGCTGATTTTGCTTGCGCTAGCTGATGTTCAAGACCTCACTATTTGGCAGCCAAGATTTCGTTAAAACTTTTAGAATTTGTTATTTGCAGCTTTTTTCCACTTTTGGACACAAAAGTGAACTAAATAGTGAAAATAGGTATGTGTCGACAACGATGACAACTTGGATGTTGCTGAAATCTTATCTAAGTGAATTGTAGTTGCATTTTGGTACATCGGCATATCAGAAAAGGTAACCCGTATGACACATCATTCCCTCCACTTCATTCTCAAGGAGCTGGAAGCAATGAATACCGCATTAATGAACAAGCATAACGCAATCAACTCGCTGGAGCTGCCATCCTCAATCAGCGAAATCAACGAGCAGATGGAAGTCTTTCATACTATCAATACCGAGTTGGAAGGGCTAGGTGAAAAGATGGATGCCTTAGCTGCGCACGGAGAATACTTAGCTACAGGCCAGGAGGAAGTGGTAGCAGTAACAGTGAAGGAGAGACTCGACGCTCTTAAAACCGAGTGGTCGGATCTGATCATCCTGTGCAACCATCAGCTAGGCCGCTTGGCGCACCAGCATGACATTAAAGTTAGAGTTCAGAATCATATGCTTACTAGTGGTGTAAAAACAATTTTTATTTCTACCGCAGTAGCTTGAATCTACCAGCTTTGGTTCAGGCGCCTTTTTAAGGTTGATGATTTGATCATTGAAGTAGGCATCTCCGAACCCACAAATTTCATACCAGATTCAGTACTTCAGTAAATCGTACTTCGTTTATCGTTTTAAAGGTGGCTTTTCTATGCTTCAATATTTTGTGTTCGCTTAGTAAGAACAAATTTAATAAGCACTAGATTACAAATAAAGACTGAAGGAAAGAAATTAGGGAACAAATTGAAGACGTTTCAACTGCAAAAGCCAAATTCTATTGAGATATATTTTTGGGGAACACATATGTAACTGAAATAAAACCCAGGAGTTACATA